CTCGGACCTTTAGTCAAATCCCCCCGACCACTGCCTGCCACTCATCCTCACTCCATCTCCCACACCACCACACTCAACAGCCCCTTCCCAGCTTCCTCTGCAGTATTTACCGTCCACAGGCTCTCCACCTCAATGTATAGCGTTTACTTCTCCCCGCTCAGCAGAACGGAGGCTCGGAGAGCATGTGTCTATTTTAATCCTCACGGTAGCCTAATGCCTTGGGGAGCCTCCAGCATCGCCGGAGGAGCTCGATACAGACTTGCTGAGTATTTATTGAATAAAGGCATTTGGGTTATTACATTTCAGGGTGAGTTTCGTTCCCTTGTGAGTAATGACCACTTAAAATAATTCTGCAGACTTAGAGAGCCCAAGCATTTCTGGGAACCCTGCCGGCTAACGGGGGGGTGGGAGGGGGGGGGACACTCATCGGGCGCGGCCACGCAGGGTGCTAGACACCTGTGATGCATTGCTGCTTTTACTGCTGGATGCCGGCTCATCCTTGGCTGACACCTTCTGCTTCTTGTTCATCCCTGAAAACATCAGCAAGACAATCATGTAGGAGCAAAGCTGCACGACACGGCTCAGACGCACTCTGTGCACACGGCAAAGTTCCGCTGCAGCGAAGGCTGGGTCGCCTGAGGCCACTGGCAGGGACAGTGGCTGTGTCCTCGGTACCCGGGGTGGAGGGTCGGGGTTCAGAGGCCCGGGTGGAGGTAGGGAGCAGACAGGCGTGCGTTTTTCTTCGCACTGGACCAGGAGCGGGAAATTCTCTCACATACATTGGAGACAGTAAGAAAATCCTTAAAATTCGGCTTAAAGGGCTTTTAGACCTGCTCTTTCATTCTTACCATCTGGTTCGCAGAAGGAGACGGTAAGGGGTTGGAAACACGAACAATATGAAAAATTGTTATAGCCCTGGCTGGTGTTGCTCAGTGGATAGAGCATCGGGCTGTGGACCAAAGGGTCCCAGGTTCGATTCTGGTCAAGGGCACATGCCTGGGTTGCAGGCTCGATCCCCAGTTGGGGGTGTGCAGGAGGCAGCCAATCAATGATTCTCTCCCATCATTGATGTTTCTATCTCTCTCTATCCCTCTCCCTTCCTCTCTGAAATCAATAAAAATATATTTAAAAAGGAAAAGGCGACCCAAGGAAAAAATACATATATTTACAGTATAAATATATATATACATACATACATATACATATAATACTATATATGTCCCATCCCATGAAGAATGTACTACTTCTCCTAATAAAGAACTATGTAAGTCCTTTTGTCTACAAACTCAAAGCCTTAGCTTTGACTGTTTACTGTGAAACACTTGAGACATAACCGCAGTGGGAGCCCGTCTGTGTGCGACGCGGTCGACGGCAGCTAGAGCGCCTCTGAAAACGCTCATCCGCTGCTCTGGGAGAGGATGCGTGGTCGCGGCTGGTGGCTGCTGTTTCAGAAGCTTCAGGAGGAGGGAAAGCCGTGGACCAACTCCCACCGGGGCAGCTGCACCTCTCCAGGAGCCTGTCTCTCTCTGCCCCAGACGCCCGGCCCCCAGACCAGCGAGGAAGCCCCTTCATCTCACTGCCATGTTCCTGGCATTTTTCCTGATCAAAGACACCAGGAATTTGCTGACAGCTCTGGACCCCCTACACAGACAATGAACACTCTCCTGGATTTTACATCCATCTGTACCCCCACAGTCCTGTCTCTGGGCCCATCGAAGGGGCCTACGCACCAGCTTGAGAAGCAGAAAATCAGTCTTCGGTGGTTTGCTGTGTTTTTCTTGTCTATAATGAGGCTGTCTTATGTAAAGTGTCTCACGTTAGTTTTATTGTGTCCTGCTTTAATAAGATGTAGAGTCGGGTTTCTGCTGGTTTTAATTATTTCCTCCGTTGAACTAGGTTACTGCATTGCCCATGCTACCTCATTCTTCCTAATATTACTGATTTTCCTAGTGTTATTTTGGCGCATTGTACTTCCAAATTGCTGCAACAGTATTTCTCAGCCCTGTGCCTTCCTGCCACGTGGCCCTGCCTCCCTTTCCTCGGGAGATGGAGCCTAGTCCCCAACCTGGAACACAGAGGGCTCGTGATGCTCTGACCAACAGCACAGGCAGGAAGTGACGTCACCCGGCTGCCGAGGCTGCGCCAGGAAAGGCGGACAGGGTCCACCTGGTGCTCCTAGGACACGTGCTCCGCCCCAGGTAAGGGCAAATCACTGAGCACAACCTGCTGTCACCGAAAAAGCCCGAACCAGGGCAAAGGAATGAGACCGGAGGCCTGGCCTACGCTCACCTGGTTACCAGCCCCTCCAAATACCCTTCCTACCAGGAGATCTTACCACCCAGGCACCCAGAATGCACCCCTGGGCGGGTTAACGTAATCATGTAAACACACACACACACACACTCACACTCACACACACACACACACACCCAGAATGCACCCCTGGGCGGGTTAACGTAATCATGTAAACACACTCACACACACACACACACACCCAGAATGCACTCCTGGGGCGGTTAATGTAATCACGTAAAGAGAATGCACTCCTGGGGCGGGTTAATGTAATCATGTACACACACACACACACACACACAGAATGCACTCCTGGGGCGGGTTTATGTAATCACGTACACACACACACACACACACGAACACACACACGAACACAGAGGCAAAACCAACTATATGTGCAGGTATATGAATGTAAGACAGGAAACATATCAAACACAGGTTGTAGAACAGGAGGAGAAAATTTCCTTTGTTACTAATGACTTTATATTTAAACAGAACAAAATGCTGTTTTTGAAAATGACATGATCATTTAAACATATTCCAAAACAAATTAAAAGAAAAAGAAGAAATTACCCCGAATTCCACCACGTGAGGGGAGTCATTGCTAACAACTTGGTGACCCTGCCTTCTGTATCTGAACTGACCGCACTCCTCTCAGCTTGTGCTTTCGATTGCTGCTAAGACAGTTTTTCCCCACAATTTCATCAAAATATTACCAACAAGTTGCCAATGAGTAGGATGATTTTAAGGGCGTTTTTTCTAACCCTACAATTTCCATACTGTTTAAAACTTCTCTACGGGATATATAATAATCCAAAGAAGTTGGCATGTTATGGACTTATATTCAGGGATCGTGGAGTGATATGTATTTAATTGTGGACAGAATACATATAGAAACTACTGATCCAAAATTGAAATTGACAGAATACATATAGCTTCTTGGACCTTAAGGGGATTATTATACATTCATCTTGAAATGCGCACTTTCTTTTGCTTCTGACATTGATTTAAAAAAAGTAACACAAATATGTCAAATAAGCTTCAGCCACTTGTTAGGAAATCGTGCCTGGCATATACAGCGATGAGGAAATGAGAACCTAGCCCATGTCGAGGTTAGATGTGCAATACAAGCTCACCTGAGTAACCAAATGATATGCTTGACATAGGACTTAGGTAGATCCCGCTGCCGTACATGGCACCGTGGAGCTGCAGGGGGGAGACGGGAGAGAAAGCGATGGTTTCCGATGTTAATATCTTACAAAGGGGGCCATCGATCTCAGGGGGGAGCACTGGCCGTTAGGAAATGACACAGCGCTTACGGCCAGGTCTAATGTGAAAAGAGCAACGCTGAGAGCCTGTCCCTAACGTTCAGGGTGAGTGACACCTGGGAGATGCCGGCCAGAGGAACATCCCTCCCATCTGCGGTGACAGAGGCCGCTTCTGTAGACCGTGGTCGTGGGCTTTGGTGCTAATGAGTCTAACGTTCTGGAAACGATCAGGCTGACACATGTGCGAGGATCTGGACACGAACCCACTTGCTCGTAAACCCAGAGGGTCCTGCTCCAATGTGCACTGGGCACAGGGTCTCCCACTTCAGCCTGTGCATCTTCACGTCCCCGAGTTCCATTCGCGGAAACCCTTCAACTGGTCGGAGAAACGCCTCCGCACGAGGGACATTCTTTCTCAGTGTCGGTAAGTTCTCGGGCCTCAGCACCCTCTTCGGTGCGAACTGAATCTGTGAGCGTTACTGCAATCGAGTCATCTCAGCTGATCAGCGCGTGGGGCCCAGCGTGTGGGACCCGGTGCTGGGGCGAGCCCCTCGTTTCCTGACCCCCACATCCTCGGGTGAAATGGCCTGGGACAGCGGGGGTGCGGGCTGGAGGGGTGGATGACGAGGCCTGTACCCCGTGTGCTGCCCGCGCCAGTGCTGCCTGAGGCTGGACAGCAGGCCGAGGGCCCGTGGCGTCCACGCTAGCTCCCCCTTTCCTTCCCCCACCCCGAAGCAGCGCTCCAAACACGTGTGTTACACAGACAGCGGATGCACGGAGGCTCTTACTGGTGCAGGGGAGCTGTTTCTACCTAAGTTCCAAGCGATCTTCTCATGGGCGAGCCAACCTTTCTGCTTCCTCCTTTATGAAGACTACTTACGCCTCCTACGAATCCCATGGACTTGCAAAATATCCATATATTTTCTCTCTTTCCAAGTAAAACCTTAGCCCCGGGTTGCTCACCAAGCTGCAACCCTGAGGAATGATGAGGGTGCATCAGGAGGCTCAGAGACTCACCTGCAGCCTCGTGTTAGATGCCACGACCA